GAAGACATTCTGGGCTCATTTCATATTTTAATACACAATATTATGTTTACAAAATGCACCTGATGAAATGAATCCCATCTGGAGTGCTAATAAAAGTACACTTTGCCAAGCTTGGTGTACGCGGGAAACTACCTGCCGGTCGCTGACTTTATACACCCAACCGTATGCAATATTTTAGAAGGATATCTGCGGCTGGAAAGTGCCCAGATATTCTTCAAGACTCACACTGGCCACTTGTTTGAATGATCAGTCGTTTGAATAGAGAAGATGAAATACTTTACAAGGGGTCTTTAGACATCGAAAACGATCTGTACCATCTGCACCTTTTGAGAGTAATAGTACCACAGGGCACCCAAGGTATCAGGGTATTATTATCAGAGGATTATCCCCTTCCCCCCTCGGTGTCTCTGAACCGGAAATGCTGATTTTATTTTATTGTTTTGTTTGAGTTGGGGGATATTATAACTATTTCTTTACATCTGGTTCATCCCAAACCCCTTCCAAAGAGTCTAGATCAAAACGCTATACTCTGGTCCGCTACCCGTACGCCTCTCCCTAAAGTCACTTCCAATCCAGCCTCACCACTCCGCAGGCTTTTTCAATGAAAAGGGAGGGACCTCTGCACAAAAAGGCATATGATTTGAAGGACCAGACTAAAGACACCCCTTCCCAGAAAACCCTGCATGTGAGGGCTCGCGATTCTGTAGTTTAAAGCGTGTTCACAGAGTTAACCGATGTTTCACCCTCTCGCGGAGATTATACCGCCGAATCTCTCTTTCCAGTGGCTCTAGATCTTGGTGAGCAATGTTGATGTCGCTGGCCTCCGGAAATTTTCCGGTATTCTTTAAGGTCGCCAGTCTAGAAAAATAGCTTGCAATCTGCTGAGCTGTGAGCCACTCCTCTTTGTCGAAAAAGCGTTCGTTAGTACCCTCCCGACATAGTGTGCGTATTCGTTTTAAAGCATAAGGCGGGGTCACCTTGCGCCCAGTCTCTTCACCAACAAGAAATACCTCGAGAAGGAAGTTATTCACCTGTTCCGTAAGTCTACTACACTTCCTTGCCTTGAGGGCCCAGCCACGATGCACGCCGTTGGAGCTGTTGGCGGTAGAAGTACTGGAGGTCTTGTGGGTTTCTGGTATTTTTGCTTTCATAGAGGAGCATTTCGCCGCCCACTGCCGTCTGATGTGATCGTACTGCATCTCCCGGTGAAGTTTGTACTGGCGCTTGCCGAAGTCGATATGGCTGACAAGGTAGTAGTCAGGGTGCTAGACTTTAGTACACCCTTCCTCAGGACATGAAAACAAGGCGCTTGCAGTTTCTTCGCAGTTACGTTCCCTCACATCTTTCGCTGATAATGGATTTCTCCACCAAGAAGCTGGCCTTTTCAACTCGCCTTTTGCAGTGTCTGGTGCGTAAAAGGCTTAAAAACCTTTATACCTGTCACTTGTTGCGTTGACTCCATGGGAAGAGCCTTTTTCCGAGATCCTACTCCCACACGAAATGCGCGCCACACTCATACTAAAAATTATTTAGCTGACTTATGCCCGCCCACTTTACGGGTGTTAACATTTGCTCTGCTTGGTCGAGCCCCCGTACGAGTCAATAGCCTCCTTCAGCTGCACTGCAGTAGTAACACCATGACCTGCAAACCAATATCCACAGGCATGAGTAAGTGCATGTTTGAAGCTTCAGGTGCTGTGGCCTTTATGGGAGGTGCGCGAAGCATGCTGGTTCTTCGAGCATGGGCTTTAAACTACGAGGCGCAATGTTGTACCTATTGCCACTAGTTACGAGCGAACATGATTCGGCGAGGCAATGAGCGCAGTTTATTGCCCCATCCTTCGCGGTAATAATCCAGATTTGATTGTAGGCCTCGAGACTGCGGAAGGGTTTTTTTGCGTATAATAGCTAGTCTTGAAAACAAAATAGCACAGCAAATGAGTCGATTCCACCGGCGAGAAGACACCGGAGGTGCCAGCGCCAACGCAAGCGGATACAGAAAACTTTTACTTTTATTTTGTACTCAGCAAATGCAAAACAAAGCTTGTATTGCTGAGCTTGGTGCCCACTACTGATTCGACATCGAAGGAAATGTCGATAACCTTTACTCCTGGTTCATCAATTATTTGTTTTTTGGACTCGATTTCTTACTTAATGACTACCATGCACGTTTGGTCATTTTCATAACAAATGACAAATTTGAGCAATTGCGCAAACCTAGTGAGCCGATAATATGAACGGCGGTTTCCAAAGTATCGAAGGCTAACGATCCCTCACTTGTCATGCTATCCAGGCCTGGGAGGCTCTTCTATTTCGATGCGTTACACACCTGTTGAAAGATTGTTTACAGCGATACGGCATCTTTTAGTGAAAAGGCTAATCTACATATGTTAGTCATATCTGTCAACTCTGTGGTATACCCTCCTCCTGGTGTTCTTCAGAACGCTCGGCAGTAGGAGTCCCCTATAAAAATGAAATTTCTGCATTCAGTTTGAAAATAGGGTGTGCCGTGGGGACACAGTCAAATTATTATCCTTCACCTTTCACCTTCTTCAGGTTTCTTAAAGGGTACAACGACCAAATCTAACCATGTCATGTCTAACATGAGCTGTTAGGGACGGACCATTATTTCTCTGACGAGGAGAGGGGGGGGGGAAGAGACAAAAATTATTTTGCATGCAAACAACTTGTTATTTCCTTTTTTCAGCTGCAAAAAATTTAATTAGGGGGTTGCATACAATTTATTTCAGTTTGCTGCGCTTGCAAATAATTCATTTCAGTGTTTACGGTTCTGCAAACAATTGATTTCAAGATTTTTGATTCCCCCACCCCACTTGCAAATAGAGTATAGTATACATTCGACTGGCACTCGCTTGCAGGACTCAAACTGTATGTGAAATGTTGCCTTATTGTTGCATAAAAGCTTAAAAATAAATTTATTGGGATGACTACCGTTTTACAAAAGCACTAATATTTTAATTTCACAGTATTTTACCTGTGTATTACCAGTTGTTTCCTCGGAGCAGCGCACAGTCTCGCTGTAATTAGATAAACATTTGCTACATATCCCTTGAAAACCAAAATAATAATGCTATTTTAACTCGGAAGCATGATAAAACTTATATTTTATCTCATGCTGTGTTCATTTTCAATGTAGCCGGTATTCCGAGACAACATTAAATCATTACAATGAGTTACCTTGTCCAGTCTCGCGAAGCACACCGAAGTCTCATCATATTTTTCTCGACATCTCCTTGGATATCCCTCTGTACGGTTTCTGTTTGCTCTGATGCTCAGGATATTTACAAACTTTACTTGGCCCTCATCCCAAGCCAAATTCGTTCCTGTGCCCGGGAAAAATTGTGAGATCTTCTTCGCACTCGTCGAACAATCCAACGCGGGCCAAACATAGTTTACCGTCTTCCTCTACTCCTTCCCGGGGAGGCTTGAAAACAACCATACAAGTGCTCTTTTGTGCTACTTTTACAATTCTTCACAATAAAAATAGACCTAGCGCTCTTGTTTCGAGTAGAAAGAGTACATTCTTTCTTAGAATATTTCTGGAAGGTACAAACACATTTAAAATCGCCCATCTTTACGAAATAGAAAGCGTGGGAAATGTCGGTGTCTGGTGAGTGTCAAGCAATCCTCTCAGCGCGTTACCAAAATAATGCCGTCGGAAAACAAAAATAGTTTAAAATATATTGAATTTGTATTTTCGATATACTTCATCATTACTTTCCTTTTACTGCAAACAAATAAGTACCTTTTCATCTGTAACCGAGGCAATATAGAAGGGCCTAAAAGTTGCGGTGCAATAAAAAAAATAAAATAAAAAGCGGCCTGGCTTCTTATATGATTTTTAGGCAAGATAAAACTATTTTTTGTTTTTCAAAATACTGCTAAAGATCTTCTCGAAGCTTTCCTTGCGTTCTGGAGACTTATAAACAAACGGACTCTGTATTACGATACTCTGGCACGTGTCACGTGACCCTCCGAGGCACGCTGGATTGCCGTATATCAAGGGCAACATAACACACCATTATTATTATCATTGCTTAGATCATCAATTACTCAAGCTGGAAAAAGCATTGAAATGAATCAAAACATGGCCGCCTGTTTGCTTTTTCCCGCTATTTTAGGGGTATATTCCGTAATTTCGCAAAATGGTTAAAATTGTCAAGTTTGATGGATGGCTCACAAATATAAAAACAGGACAATAATATATTTTTTATATTTGTACATAAAAATCAAGGTTTCTACTTTCACTTAACGAAATATTTTTTGTTGGCTTGAGAAACACCCACATCATGAATTCACTGCATTTTTGGCACGGATTTTTGCGCATTTCTTTAAAAAAACTTAAAACTCGTATAGCCCTCTTAAAAATTAGTATCTAGATAAACCGTTTGGTTTAGATTGTAGGTTCATTGTGGACAACAAGTGAGCCAAATTTGGGCTAAATTGGGGGGGAGGGGGGGGTCGTCCAGACTCGTCTGCCATGTGGTCACGTTCTAAAAAGACAAGGAGTTAGATAAATTGCGCGAACGAAAGCTCAAAAACAATTAACCAAACTCCGTTAAGACAAGTAACAAAAGTACGCGAAAAATGTCCATGTCATTTTTCCAATATATTGACGTAATTTGCTAATTGTGAAATCACGTGCGCCGCGCATGTAAATAAAAAAAACTACAAGGCCAGGAGTGGAAAATGAAAATTGTAATTTGAAATTTAAAACTAAAAAGATTTTCTGCAAACAATCCGTGAATAAGTTTTGACTAATTTCTCCTTGACAGGGTCAAGATGGACAACATAAAAGAAGCTATATATCAGCATAGGTAAAGTAGTCACCGAGTTCCTTCGCAAAACTGGTCGCGTGTTGCAAGCCATCCAGGTGTACAAGGAATGTTTGGTTAATACCCAGTCAAGCGCAGGCTATCAATAGTTCATTGGCAAACGTTATGTTCAAAATCATGACAACGGTTGGAAACACCCATGGCCAGGCACCATGTTACTCAAAGCTCGGAGTAATGTTCCAATCATATGGTCAATATGACAAGGCCCGAGAATATCAGGATAAAGCACTCGCTATCGCAATAGAAATTGGTGACAGGGATGGAGAAGCATCAAGCTACGGAAACCTAGGAACTATCTTCCAATCACTCGGTCAATATGACAAGGCCCGAGAATATCAGGAGAAAGCACTCGCTATCAGATTAGAAATTGGTGACAGGGATGGAGAGGCAGCAAGCTACGGAAACCTAGGAACTTGGTTCCGATCGCTCGGTCAATATGACAGGGCCCGAGAATATCAGGAGAGAGCACTCGCTATCAAAATAGAAATTGGTGACAGGCATGGAGAAGCAACAAGCTACGGAAACCTAGGAACTGTGTTCCAATCTCTCGGGCAATTTGACCGTGCCCGAGAATATCACGACAAAGCACTCGCAATTAAAAACGAAATTGGTGATAGGCATGGAGAAGCAACAAGCTACGGAAACCTTGGAACTTTGTTCCAATCACTCGGTCAATATGACAAGGCCCGTGAATATCAAGAGAAAGCACTCCTTATCAGAATAGAGATCGGTGACAGGGATGGAGAGGCAGCAAGCTACGGAAACCTAGGAACTTTGTTCCGATCACTCGGTCAGTATGACAAGGCCCGTGAATATCAGGAGAAAGCACTCGCTATCCAAATAGAAATTGGTGACAGGAATGGAGAAGCAACAAGCTGGGGAAACTTAGGAACTGTGTTCCAATCACTCGGGAAATTTGCAAAGGCTCGAGAATATCACGAGAAAGCACTCGCTATCAAAAACGAAATTGGTGACAGGCATGGAGAAGCAACAAGCTACGGAAACCTTGGAACTTTGTTCCAATCACTCGGTCAATATGACAAGGCCCGAGAATATCAAGAGAAAGCACTCGCCATCAAAATAGGAATTGGTGACAGGAATGGAGAAGCAACAAGCTACGGAAACCTAGGAACTGTGTTCCAATCACTCGGTCAATATGACAAGGCCCGAGAATATCATGAGAAAGCACTCGCTATCAAAAACGAAATTGGTGACAGGCATGGAGAAGCAACAAGCTACGGAAACCTTGGAACTTTGTTCCGATCACTCGGTCAATATGACAAGGCCCGAAAATATCAGGAGAAAGCACTCGCTATCCAAATAGAAATTGGTGACAGGAATGGAGAAGCAACAAGCTACGGAAACCAAGGAACTGTGTTCCAATCACTCGGGCAATTTGCAAAGGCCCGAGGATATAACGAGAAAGCACTCGCTATCAAAATAGAAATTGGTGACAGGCATGGAGAAGCAACAAGCTACGGAAACCTTGGAACTTTGTTCCGATCACTCGGTCAATATGACAAGGCCCGAGAATATCAGGAGAAAGCACTCGCTATCAAAATAAAAATTAGTGACAGGCATGGAGAAGCAACAAGCTACGGAAACCTAGGAACTGTGTTCCAATCACTCGGGCAATTTGACAAGGCCCGAGAATATCACGAGAAAGCACTCGCTATCAAAAACGAAATTGGTGACAGGCATGGAGAAGCAGCAAGCTATGGAAACCTTGGAACTTTGTTCCGATCACTCGGTCAATATGACAAGGCCCGAGAATATCAGGAGAAAGCACTCGCTATCAGAATAGAAATTGGTGACAGGCATGGAGAAGCAACAAGCTACGGAAACCTTGGAACTGTATTCCAATCACTCGGTCAATATGACAAGGCCCGAGAATATCACGAGAAAGCACTCGCTATCAAAATAGAAATTGGTGATAGGCATGGAGAAGCAACAAGCTATACAAACCTCACTGGTTTGTTTCTCTCACTCGGCAAGTATGCAAAGGCTGACGACTATTTAAAGAAGGCAATGGCAGTTAGAAAGGGTATCGATGATAGAAGGGGAGAAGCAACAGATTACAGTCATCTTGGTCAAATTTCTTTTAAGCGTGGTGAATATGACAAGGCTCAAGAATATTACGAGAAAGCCCTCGCAATTCACATGGAAATCGGTGAGAGAGAAAGAGTACCAGTCAACTACAGGAATTTAGCATTGTGTTTCCAATCGCTTAGCAAATATGACATGGCCGAAGAATACCTTAAGAAGGCTCTCCTATTAAGTAGGGACATTGGACTCAACTTAAGCGAGTTTTACTGCCTCTGTAATCTATCGGTGTTAAAGTTCTCACATGGTCATCTTGAAGAGGCTTGTTCGTATCTTTTTCAAGGTATCCAAAAGTTCGACACTTTGAGAGGTTTACTTAAAGAAAACGATCAGTTTCAAATAGCTCTCTTAGAAGAACACGGCACCTTTTCCTACAAGTTATTCAGTAGGTTGCTTTCTTCCACTGGAAAACCTCAAGACGCCCTTTACGTCGAAGAGCTGAGAAGGGCACGAGGCCTGGCCGACTTGATGGCAGCTCGATACTCTCTTCAAGAGCAGATCTCAAGCGATCCACAATCTTGGTGTGGCATTCAAAGGATCATCACAAAAGAAGCAGACTGTGCATGCCTGTACATTTCGATTGGTGAAGATGAGGTACGGTTTTGGATAATTACAGCAACGGGAGCTATTCATTTTTCAGAAAAGAAAGTGAGCCTGGACCAAAACAAGGTGACCGGAATAGTCCCTGAGTTAGATGAGTTTTTTAAAGAAGTCTTCTGCAGCCACGTCATTTTATCCGAACGGAATTGCAAAGATTTCAAAACAAGTCTTGACTTGTGTTACAAGATAATCATCGCTCCTGTGGTTGGTTTACTGAAGCAGCCCGAGATCATAATTGTCCCCGATTCCTGTGCGTACCAAGTGCCATTTGCAGCCTTGGCTGACGAAGGAGGCAAGTATTTATCCGAGACATGCAGGATTCGGATAGTTCCCTCCCTGACGACTCTCAAGCACGTTCAAGACAGTCCTCCAGACTATCACAGTCAGACCGGGGCACTGATAGTGGGTGACCCTGTGGTTGGAAAGGTGATTTACAAGGGAAGGTGCATAAATATGCTACCATTGCCGTGTGCAAGAAAGGAAGCAGAGATGATTGGAGTACTTCTCGGCGTAACGCCTTTGATAGGAGATTCCGCGACAAAGCATTCTGTGCTCCAGGCGATGAATTCAGTGAGCCTGATACACATTGCTGCCCATGGTCATGCCGAAACAGGGGAAATTGCTCTTTCTCCTATGCACCCTACCCTACTCCCACCTTTCCCTCGAGAAGAAGAGTATCTTTTGACGATGGCGGATATTTCAAAAACTCAGTTACGAGCTAAACTAGTGGTGCTTAGTTGTGATCACAGTGCTCGTGGACAGATCAGAACCGAGGGAGTTATCGGAATTGCCCGAGCGTTCCTAAGATCCGGAGCTCGTTCAGTGTTAGCGGCACGATGGGTCCTGGATGACAGAGCCACAGAGAAGTTTATGACTTGTTTCTACAAACATTTGTTCCGCGGTGAAAGCGCCAGTGAATCTCTCCACAAGGCCAGGAAGTGGATGAGAAATAACGGCTTTGACAAAGTTTCTCAATGGGCGACATTTATGATCATGGGCGACAACGTGACATTTGATTTTGGAAATTGGCCGGTGCCTAATGCACCTCAAGAGCCATGAATTTGATAAAACCTCTGTAGCATAATGAATTAGACTAAGTAAAGCTCGAAACTATTTAATTACAAGCCTGTAGAAAGAGGACGCCATTTGCGAAGGACAACTCAGATCGGTACACAGAGGAAAGCACTTCTGTAAAATGTTCATAAGACATCTAAGTTAAATGATCTGAAACAAGACAGCGTATAGTGTTATCTCTTTATAAGAGTTCCGAAGTTAAAAAACTCCAATTTTTTTTTTGAGTCATCAGTTCAGTGAATGAGTCAATTAAAGTGTGATAATTCTTAGTTTTAGAACGCGATTAATTCTTCAAGGGAAGAAAAATTTAATTCTTTTTCAGCTGATTAGTTAGTCATTTCAAGTGGACTTTTAAAAAAATGTGTGACTTGGGAAAGAAGTTTTTCTATTTGGAAATTTCTTGCAAAGCTTTTGACAAGAAATATTTTGGTTTAACGTGCTAAAATAAAGACAAAAAATAAAATAAAGAAAAAAGAGATACACTTGTATAGTAATGCAAACCCTTGTATTCTCATAGATACCCCAGTAATTTTATCAATTTAACCTTGTAGCCCCAAAGAGTGACTAGCATCTAATTTCTCCTCACAATATCACTCCTGAATCAAACATTAAGGTCACGAGAATAACGGAAATGATCAACAAGTACAGAAGCTCTTGATGTTAGGCAAAATCTCCTGGTCAGCACCTTAGGAAATGCAGAAAAAACAGTATGGAGCATAAGCATACTGACCTTAGGGTGTAAAGGGTTAATTGATACCTTATGCGTAGGTACGGTTGTGTCCTCACACAGACTACTGTTTCGCTCCTTTTTATCAACGTCTCGAAAAGGTTACTTTATTATCAAAGGAAAATTTATGAATTCATGAAAATTTAACAGAACTCAAAGATAAACATATCTTTATTTTCTTTCAAAGGAAAGCAACGCGCGGTCAAGCCGCCTCACAGTTCGAGAGTTGCACCGAAATGGCTTCCATGTAAAATACTTTACATTTCAATTATCAAACAAAAAATGCCGTTAAAAGGCAGAACTAGTTAGAATAAAATAAGACACCCTGAAAATATGTCGAAATAGTTCTACGGAAGTTCAAAATTTGAAATACAGAGGTGAAAACCCGAGACTTTCCGTTTTAGATCCCTTTGCTTTGACTGAAGCGCTTTCCGAGTTTGCTCGAACGGGATGTCTTTCAGAGGGCAAAGTCTATAGTTTTTTGTCTTCAAACGGCGCTCAAATTTTGCGAAGAATGCCCTTAAGGAATTAGGCTCGTATTCCCCGTTGTCTTCTTTTTTGCGAACCGTTATAAGGAACTCACTGAGAAACTTGTTCAGCTCTTGAAGAGTCAATTCGTCCATTTGTCTCGTCTCGTCTTTCAAAACAAGAAATTCGTCGAACAGAGCAACATCGCGTTTGGTCCTTTTCTTTTTGTTTTCATTTTCCTGTCCGTCTATGAACTCTTCTACTGATGAATCTAGGCTCTGAAAACGCCGTTAGTCTGATTTGAAGCCTTCTTTCTAAAGTAAAATGCGCGTAAGCTCTTGGAAATGTGCTGTTTGTCAGTCAAGAGGAGCGGCGAGCGAGCGACACGGTTTTGTTCACTAGTGAAAACAATGATATAGCCAATCAATGCGTCGATACGTCGTTTTCAGCTAGTGAAAAAAATCGAATGACTAATCAGCTGGCTTCTCTAGCGCGAAGAGACTATTTCTATCTCGATGCTTTTTGGTGCGTAAATCCCGGTATGTACATAATAAATATATTTATGCAGTTTAGCAATATAACTTTTCTAGTACTTCAAAACAGCGAAAATTACTAACGAGAAGATGTGACACTCATGTAACACCACTGAATAATTCTAAAGATAAATAAAATGTAAAGTGATTGGCAGTCACAAGACAAAATTATTCATCAGATGTAGGGAATCACTGAACTGGTTGAAACTGATTTATTAAATGTGACTTATTGAACACCTTCGATCTAATAAGTGTTACAATGCAAGGTGAACGTGGCGACATGAAAACCGGACTCATTTTCTGTCAACAAACTGGACTCTAACAGGTCTGTTAGGAACGGTGACCCCTCTTATGAACGGCTCCACATTCTTTGCCCCAGGTGGGTAAGAGATGTCAAACTGCTGCACGATTCTGGCCATCAGCGGTTTAAACGCTTCAACTCAAGTTAATCAGTGCCCCCAGGGATATGGTAGCCCCCCTAATATTATGTCTACTTTCGACCTTCGCGGGAGAGCGGAGAAAACAGGATATAGGCAGAGAGTCTCTCGTAGCCAGGCCATCAGGTATGGCGTACGAGAGAGCGTTTCTGGCGTTGCAAAGGTAGAATTTCCAACCACTAAGAGCACTTCCTGTCGAAGAATCTTCTGTGTCTCAGGATTTTTGGCCAACATATAAAGAACCCATTGCATCGTGGTGGACGTAATGTCAACTCCGGCAAGCAAACCATCGAATACGCTCGCCAATAGGTCATCAATCGGGTAAGTATGTCATGTGTGGGGAATTATTATGTCCCCAATACATATAATGTCCTATTATGTACAGTAGGTACATCTATCTACACTGTCTACAATAGGTACAACTTCACCGTCTACAGCAGGTACAACTATCTACACTGTCAACAGTTGGTACAGCTATCTACAATGACAACAGTAGTACAGCTTTCTACACTGTCTACAAGAGGTGCAACTATCTACACTGTCAACAGTAGGTACAACTATCTACACTGTCAACAGTAGGTACAGCTATCTACTCTAACAACAGTAGTGCAGCTTTCTACACTGTCTACAATAGGTGCAACTATCTACACTGTCAACAGTAGGTACAACTATCTACACTGTCCACAGTAGGTACAGCTGTCTACCCTGTCTCCAATAGGTACAACTATCTACACTGTCTACAGTAGGTACAACTATCTACACTATCTATAGTAAGTACAACTGCCTACGCTGTCTACAGTGTGTTTTACCTGTTAATCCATAATTAAATTTTGCCTCGGTTTTGGAATGAATTCCGCAGTCACATGAAATAGTTCCTAAGATTGTAAGTCATGAAAAACTCAACTCTTTTTCATGTAGTTTATTATCATCTCCATGCGTTTTACAATGAGGTAGCCATTCATTACAGAATGGTTGGTCAAAGTTCAATTTCTCTAAATTGGAAAAATGTCCATCACCCATTAAGTTCTTACGTAGTGATCGATGGGGTCGTGAAGTTGTGAGAGAATTTCTAAATCTCAATCTTGGTGTAAATTCTTATTGTGCTCGCAGTTATGCGATTACCTAAGCTAATTTTATATGAAGGAAGCATGCTTTTGCAAAAGCAACCTGTCCTCTAACTTTGAAATCATCAACTAAACCCTCTTTTTGGAGACAACAGAGAAGAAAAATTCTGCAGGCACCTCGGTGACTTTTTTCTTTTTGAGAAAGCATTTTTCTATGTTATTGAACTTGGCTCTGTTGTTTACTTCTAATGCTTTTTTCATTCTACTTATTTTCTCGCAGGAAGCAATGAAGAGGATACCACGTCACATGACCATAGCCATTCTGTAAATGTCACTGGATTTTGCAAATCATTAATTTAGATGGAGCTTTTCCTCTAAAATAGGTACGATGAACCTCCCTTCCCTTTTTTTTTTGTGTGTGCGACATGAGTACGTCGTTACTTAGCTTAAGAAAAGTTTCAGAACAATCTGAACAGCGAAGATTTCTGCTTTTTCTATTGCATGAACTGCCTTGTATTAAACAAGGGCATTTCGTTTTGCGTTGTCCAACTTCATCACGACAAGATATGTCGTTTCCTTCGCCGCGTCTACAAAAGGTCTCCATAACTTTTTTTTTTGTTTGCGCAGCCCATGCTTCTACATTTTGTAGGACACTTCCATTTTGAGCGGACACATGAACACTATCTTGTCTCATAACTTGGCAAAGAACGTTCAACACACGATCTTTCTCTGTTCTTATCATTTCTTCCACGACTACAACCTTTTCCGATCAGGGCCTTTTCTTCTGTAAGTCCCGCTATCTGCTGTTCTGCTGTGAAGTAAAGTGATCTCGTTAAGGAAACTCGATGTTTTCAATTCTATTGACTGATAATCAGTACGATCTGTATATGAACTTGTGCTCGTATTTTCCAACGCTTTCGTACACGTTTTTATTACAGACGACATGTGGACTATATTTTAATTACTTACGTGACTTTCGTATTTTGCAAGATTTATGTCAAATTTTCTGATTAGGCAACGCAAGCGATGTTTTTATACATTTTTAAATCTAGAAAAATGCAACAATAAGATGAGTGTTTACTCAGCTTCAAGCAATACAGTTGATCAGGGCAAAAAACCGAAGTTAACAAATAGAAGATATGAAACTGCTTCACTTGGCGTTATTACCATTGTTGGCAATTGTAGTATTTGTGCGGATGTCTTTATGACCAAATCCCCAAGCATCTTGTCGTAAACTCCTGGTGATTGAAATTCCTCCGCTTTTTCCTGAAGGGTTTCAACATCATCTTCTTTAGGCACGAAGGAAAGAAGTTCTTTATCTCCACTTAAGACCTCGTCAACAAAAAGTTGCCCCGAGTGATAAGTGTCTTTCTCTTCAGTCTTCAATAAACTGATGCTCTCCAAATGTTCTTTGAACAATGTATCTCCTGCAATAAATTTATAAATTTGCTTCACTAAGTTTCTAAAGGCACAGTCTCCGTCGGCGACTACTTCTTCTATTTCCAGGCCAAAATTTCTCTACAATATGCTTCGATTCCTGTCGATACTTATGTCATCTTCATGTGCATCAAACAGGCTTTGGAAACTAATGAAATCTGGCATATTGATCATTTCCTGTATGTCTGAAGCTTCAAATGCCCTGCTGTGTTTCTTGGCCTCTAAGTTTGTGATGACCTCATACATATCGGATGAAGCGTCCAGTATTACCCTAGAGACAAATTCCGTTTGCACATCCTCAATTTCCTCTACAACAACGGTGGTATCTTGCTGATAACTGCTGGAGTTTACATCCGAAATGAGGCCGTCCTCTTGTAAAGTGTGATACTCCAGTGCTTCCTTTAAAAGGAGATACGAAACTTGAAGACTCATCTTTCTCTTCTATTTTCGCATTATGTACCTCAATCGGCAGAGCGCATCCTACTCTTGAATTGCATTTATGCTTTGTTAGTAAAGTCCGACTACTGTGATGATAGAAAAGCACAGTGAGAATCGCTACAACTAATTCCACGTTGATTCTCGTTGCTCCTGACAAACAGGATCTGTTTAGCAGCTTGTGCAGCTGTTCATTCCGCTCTGTTCCGAACCCTGGAGGTATTCCCGATAGACAATTGTTAAGGATGTGTTTTTTAAGTCTTTTTATTTCTTCCAGAGTTTCCTTGGTAAGAGGAGAGACGACTACATAGTCCAACCTCTTCAGGAAAATGTTCAAGTTTTGGAGAATTTTTACTTTGCAGGGTTTTTTTCTGCAAACGAACATCTCCTTGATCATGGTCCTGTCAAATTCCTCTTCAAATGCTCTTTTGAGAAGGTGGTTATCATGTAGAAACGTTTTGCATACTCTTTGACAAGCATGGTAAGGATCAAGTTTCCAGGAGTATTTTTAAATATTGATTGATACTTCTTGCGAACCTTACAACAGTCGTCAATACAAATAAGTTGCGGCTTTTTGTTCTGTTTTCCAAGTCTTGCTTTATTCGCCTCTAGCACTTCTTGTATTTATTTGAAAGAAGTTGCCCTAGTGAGTTGCCAATTGATGATTTTTCCTTCTTCACTCATAATGTACAAGTTTTTAAACTGCGTTATGAATTTCTCATCTTAGCTAGGCCTTACTACTCCAATATTTTTAATGACTTTGAAAGTGTGATCACATGAGATCGCCAGACCTGTCACCTTATTCATTTCACTTTGATACACATACTGTTTATTTGAGGAATCCCTCAAAAAGATGCAACTAATTTGGTCATTGCTCAGAAAGGAGTATAATATGTTGTCGTGAAACTGTCTCACTGAACGGTTCTCCAGTAGCTCTATTTTCGTTTCATGCAGCGTTGTATATTTGGCCACGCCTGCAGAACTCTGCTATCTCTCAACTCAGGGTCGTAACGAGGTATATTTTTTCGTCGCTGATCCCGTATTTTTACGCAAATTTTTAATCCCTGATCCCAAAAGTGATGAAAATTTTGTTCCCTGATCCCACAAAATTTTGTTGATCCCAGTGTATTTTCTATCCATAACTTTGTCTGGTAATCATTTTTTACCAATTCGCCAATGCGACATTAGACTAAAATAAAAATGAGCTACAAGTGGAAATCAGACAATGTTAAGACTATACCTTCTTCTCCCATGCGATCTGTGGATGCGGCGTTGGTGATGCTCTGAGGACTGATGTTTTGGCGATCGCGATCGCGATCGCGACCTGGACCGCCGAGATCTGTGCAATGGTGAAATATTGATAATAAGCCCGGCGAACACAAAAATATACTGGAACACTGCAATCTTAAAGTTACCATCCAGCCCTTAAGGACGTTCGCGCGAAAATCTTTCCACTGTCAGATTTTAAATAACTTTTACAGTAGTTAGGTAACGGCCACCTCAGATCAGAGGCAAAAAATTGGGTGTCACCAAGCTTGTTTTAGAGATAACCGGTATAGAAGTTTTGACAGTTAATTCGATTTGGCTTCAAAAAAAAAAAACTGTTGCAGGCAAGCATTTTTTATTTGGAGTGACTCAAACAAGCCTATTGAGTAAATATTTGTTGCTGGTTTCATCCCATTTATTAAAAACTAAATTCTGGAAGGAAAATTGCTTGTCATGCCCAGTCGAGAAAGGCGTAAATTTGCCTTCTTTGAGTCGAAAAACTAAATAATATATACTCCGCTTCTCACGGTCAGATTTTTTCATTTTTTTTCTTAAAAATCGAGGGAAAAGGAAAGGAACCGATTTTTGTGAAGAAAAAAAGGGGGTCACCAGCCATCTGTGAGAGCGAAGTCAATTCCAAGATAACAAAACGGCTACCAGCCCTTTACTATGGGAAACGCAAACGCGGCTTTTAGTGGTTTGGTATACTTTGAGTTCCAATCCCCTAGAACAAATGAAATCAGCGAAATACATAGCGCCGGCGCGCTACAAAGTATTTACTTGATACACAGTGATACACCCCTTAGTGTGCGTGCCAACTACAGTCAACTCTAGTTACAGCGGACACCTTCGGGACGTCGTTTTGTGTCCGGAATAGCGAGAGTCCGTAATACCGGAGTCATTTTCAGTCAAACCTCTATAGATGGAGGGTATAACATAGGGTTCGCAAATCCCGCTTCCCGCCACCATTTTTAGCTCCATCCCGCCATCCCGCTTACTCTTGACGTGTCATCCCGATCCCGCCACGTTCCAAATTGTTTTTCACTTTTAACTGTCACAAGACACTGTTATAACACACTTTTCACAGTTGCCTATGCCAGTCTTTAAGCCATACAGCTTGTTTCTGAAAAAGGATGTTGCATAACATACAAATTGTCGCTGTCGTTTTTCGCAGTGTACGTAACTATCGCTGTAGCTTTTTTTTTTCTACAAGACCCTGTTTTCTCACTGGGTTGTAACCGGACCTCAATGAAGCTCAGCGGGAGAAAAAAATTGATGAAGATGAATGTGAATGGAGTTAAGGGGATCAGGGGTCATGCTCCCCTGGAAAATTTTGAAAGTCCGAGCTCTCAAAAAAATTCCATTTCCTGCATTCTGAGTTAGCCTCCTCTGCAGGCATCTCACAAACAACATCAAAAACACAGAGGCCGCTTTCGGTGGACTAGGAACGAGTTCAGCAAGGCCAATATCCCATCCCCGGGCCGACCTTCGGCAAAGCCCCACCGTGGGGAAGGGGACGTGAAAAAATGTCCAACAAATACACGGGGGGATGCGCAGGCTTGGAGTTGGAAGGCCTTGTTGTTATGTGAATTGCTTCTTGAACCCTGTGTGCGTACCAGTTCTAGTCTTGATTAACTCGTTCCCTAATACCGAGTTAGCTCGTCTGAGCAGTGTAGATAACAAAATCGTACTTCGTACACTAGATTTTAATTGAACACTAATGAACTCAAAAGACTTGGTCAGGGTGTGGTGTTGCTGATTGTTTACATCGGGAGAAAACGTGACTAACCTTTTAAAATCTCTATTGTTTTACAAACCCGGCGCACGTTTTTAGAGGGATGTCGGCCCGCAAATTGACTTGCAGATAAAGACCAGAAATTTATAGATCTTTTTATAAATTTCTCATCCTCAATCCCGTTTCCCGCCGGAAATAATAAAAAATTCCCGCGTCCCGCCAGAAAAATAAGCAACTTCCCGCTTCCACGCTATCCCGCATCCCGCCTTAAAATTTCCTTTCATCCCGCATCCCGGCAGCTAAAAACGCCTCATCCCGTATCCCGCCAAACCTATGTTAGACCCTCTAGATGGGGATCTGAATTTTGGCCGCGGGGTGTCCGCAAGGCAAGAGTTACTGTAATAACATTTACCAGTAAACCTAAAACTGATGACATTAATTTTATAAAAAAAATCCTTCAAATTAATCCATCTATTATTTTCCTTGATCAAAAGAAAACTTTTCTTTCATCTAAATTGCCTTTAGAATAAATACTACTCGGGTCCACGCTAAATCCCACAACACGACGAAATCTCATAGTCCATTTGTGCTATCAGTTTTCAATGTGTTATCAGTTGTTACATCATGGTTTTTGTGTCTGGTCTTTTCGCCGTTTTAGAAGCAATTCTATGTATACTCTAGTCCTTATAATTGGTAACAACACACAAACACTCATTATTCTAAGTTACCTGCTTGTTGAACGTCGCCTTGAGCTTCGCTCATGCCGTTGATCGCCTTTTCTGCTGAGCGACCAGGAACGTGACCTAGAATGTCGAGTTTATGAAATTGGCATATTGTATGACATGATTGAACGTCATGCAGCGCGAGTAAGACAATAAAATCCTGGCAAGTTATTAACAGATTAACGACCCAATGCCTAACCAGTCAAGTTTGAGTCAACTAGTACTCTTCGATTCTGGTCTCCGGTGAACTATAAATCAATAAGTCCAAATACCAAGGAATACTGTATAAAATGGGTCATAAAATTTCAAAAAGCTTTAAAAATCCATGTTTAGGCGCGCATCGTAAATTATTGTTGTTATCTAGACGCCTGATCCTTGAGCCCATGGAAAACACGCTGATCCCGATCCCGAGGGCTTTGATCCCGGATTCGAGGCTGTGATCCCTGATCCCACCCTTTTTTAGGCCTTTGATCCCTGATCCCATATACCTCGTTACGACCCTGCTCAACTGACCTTCATGAAGTTCACTCCTCTGATCAGATTTGAATTAATAAAATCTAAAACTGCATTTGTGCACCCACTGCGATTAAACATAGTTATTAAGAAGATTGCCTGTATATGATGCGGTTAACTTTTTAAGAAATCATTGCAAGATGAAACGATCTTATGGGGACGGCGAATCAAATATTAGCCTTGGTATTCGGTCCTTATTTCCAAATTCACCAGTATTGAATTGCCACGGTACAAGAGGGACATCAAGGGCGGGGCATTTGATGACACAGTCAACAAACTGCTCTTGAGGACTCCATACAAACACCTTTGGTTTGAAAAAATCTGCTTTTGTTGTTCCTCGTAAAGAGGACTAATGATATTATGGGAATTTCCATCGTTTGGATTTTTGTGAAATCTTTGATTACATTTTGAAGGTAGCAAATTATCATTTAGTAGAACAGTCTTTCTGAGTCTTCCCTATTGCTAGAAATTATTATTAGCAACATGTCAAATAGTAACAAAAAATTTAACCACAACTCATTACATGAACAGAATGTTCTTCAGCAAATTTGGATAAATTTATGAAACTGAATCACTGAATTTGGACCATTTCAGGACTTGTAACCTTCAGGGATTCTGTATTAACGGTAACACAACTTTAACTTTTTTCAGTTACTTTTATTAGTTAGCAAGTCAAACTTTCAGTTTGAACTCCAAAATTTTTATTACATCATCCTGGTATTTTGGGTGAAGTTCATTTTTAGGGACCTGCAAAAGAAAAGTAAGGCTGGCATTAATTAACTTTGCACTGACATTACTTGGATTATTTTCCAGTTCTACTTTCCAACATTATTCCAGTTTTGGTGCATTGTGAATAGCCTACCTCTCAATAACATTTAATTTGACAAGCCAGGATGATGCATCTTAAAAGACATGGTTTGTACAACATGGCAATCATGTGAATGTGATTGAAAAGGGAGGCAAATGACAGTGAGATTCTGACAAGGATTCACGATTACTTGATGGTCAATCTTCGCACAATTATTTTCCAATTCTATTGACATTGTTCTTATTCCCATAATTCTGATATTTTTCTTGAGGATTTTAATTTTTATTCAAGGAGATTTAAGGGGAAGTATGTCCCAAATACCTGATAAAACTTTTTTTTTTTTTAATTTTTTCCATCAGTAGTATTTTATTAATAGTATCATGGTTTTTGGCAAGTTTTAAACTAGTATTTACTTGTTTAAAACAAGCTGGGTGTGAATGCGGGACATCACTCACAGGATGATTGGTTAATCCCATGTTAAAACAAAATTCTTTCACACGCTTTAAGAAACAGTAGCCACAATAATGACGTTCTTGAAGATGTAAACAAAGTTTAATGATGCAAAGCAATGAGATGTTAACAAGGCTTGGAGATAAAATGATGCATTAAAGCAAAGCCATGAAAACAGACAGAGTAAATGATAGAAGCAATATATAAAACCGTTTAAAGCTGTTTCAAATACTAAGAAGTAGATACAAAAAAAATATATTCAAACAGACTGAAAAACTATGGTAAACTTTGAGAAAAAACTCTAGATCTCATGAAAATTATGGAAAAAGGTTAAGAGACTTCTGTATCCAGGTTTGGGATTTTACAGTGCTGACATTGTACCTTAGAAACTAACATGATGAATAGCCAGCCTGAACTGAAAGTTTTCCTGAACATGTGCAATAAACTATACTGAATGGTACAAAAAACCACTGAGCAGTACAAAGGATAATAACTTTGATTGTACCATTTACAGTGTGTGTAAATACATGTAAATAAGATTCTATTGTTTTGACCACAGGAAATGGGAAATGTCTCTATCAAAGAAACTCCAAAAAAACCATTTGTTGTCCTCCTCTCCAGATTGATCAGCATTAGAAAACATGTTTATAACAAAACAAAATCACAAAAGGAAATACAAAACAGAAAAACTATTTGGCAGTAAACATTGAGCCTTACTGATCCATGGCATCATCATCATCATCATCAACCTTTTCTTCATTTAGGTAAAAAGCATATTAACTTTTTAACCCCCATAAGTGACTGGCCTCCAACTTCTCCTCACAGTATCACCCATTGAATTAATTATTTAGTTCATGAGAATAAAAGAAATGATCACTTATTTTGAGAGGCTCCTGATTTTATAACAAATTCTCCTCATCAGTGCCTTAGAAAAGGTAGACAGAAAAATGTGTGAATACCAATGTAAGGGTGTAAAGGGTTATGTTACTACTTGTCACCTTTTTCTGTTTCCAAAGAATAACATTTAATAGTTCAAAAATGGTCTTCAAATGTGCTAAAGATTCAATTGCGAATGTCATCATTTTGAAAACTCCTTTGTGAGTTTAGCTGTGTAAAGCATGCAAGCTTGCTATAAAAAATTTGGTTTTGGTTATTGTGAAAACTAATTTTTTTTAAGTGAACAGTTTCTTTAAGTGTAGCTCCTAATTTTTAATACTTTGACCCTTAAGAGTGACAAGCATCTAATTCCTCCTTGCAATATTACCCTTGAACCACACATTAAGGTCACAAGAATAAAGGAAATGATCACCAACTAAAGAAGCTCTTGATTATTACACAAATTCTCCATAGCAGCTCTTGGGAAATGTACAGTATACAGAACAACATACTTAGAGAATGTGCATGCTAATGTTAAGACTAAGGTTTTACAATGTTAGGGAAAAAGAAGAGAGAGATTTGATTACACTGAGGTAAGAAATTAGGTTGCTAAGTTAGATTCAAATGAGCATTGCATTCCCTGGTTAAGTTTTAAGAACATCTGAAGCTTCTCATCTTAACTCCAAAACTTTGGAATCTAAAAATGCTGTCAGTGCCATAATTGGTACAATATTTCTGATTGCATGAGAGACCAAGGTAGGATTTCTCCTCACAATATCAATACAAAATTAAGGAGGCATGTGATCAGAGTAGAGATAAAGATTATTAGTTGATCCAAAACCAAATTCTCTGAACTAAATTCATAAGAATTCTATGGCAGATAGTAAGGAGATCTCGGGAGTGAGACGGTTAAATGATAAGATTTTGATGCTATGTCATGAGAGAGGTGTTTGAGTAAATCGATACAATCAAACCTTGGTTATCCAGATTATTTGATTATCTGGACTTGATTCTCTGGTCTCAAAGAAATAGTCCCTCTTGAGATCTTTGACAATGTTTTCCCATCACACAAAGCTGAATTACTGAAACAATTTCATGACAATGACAGATAGCACTTTAGGTAGCAAAACATTTTTGTAAATACTTTTGGCAAATGTTAACAGTGAAGTACATTCATTAGAGAATATACTTTTATTTCTTGCGTGGTATAAATCAAATGATACATTTTGGCTCATTAATATTTATAGACTCTGGATAATTGAGGTTCGACTGTATAACCAGTTGGGCAGTGTTTCTAACTTCCATACCTTGTGGCAGTCATAACCTTGATCTGCCATCGTTTTCACAAATGCTTCCTCGCCTCCACGATTCCTTCCCATTGATACGTAAATACGTGAACCAGGTTTTGCTAATTTTGTGATGCACTGAGCGAGAAGCACAGAGTCGTCCGCTGAATAAAGACATTCTGCAGCGAGAATGAGATGAAACAGACCATCTTTTGTCAAATCTTCTGTGCTTTTCCCCCAACAATATTCCACAACCTTGATTCTACTCCGACCAACTCCAGTCACATTTGCTGCCACGTTGTCTTTAAGAGTTTTTACACAACATTTCTGATCAGTTAGAACGGTCATTTTCGCACCTAACAAACACAAATAAATTCCCACTAAACCGCAGCCAGCTCCAAGCTCTAAAACTCGGCATTCCTGTAAATAGTGTAAAGGAAATATATCTCGATTATCGAACATCTTAGCGAGTGCAATACTTCCATCCCAAACAGTTGTTCCAAGAGCTGTGTAGCTCTGTCGAAGTTTCATGAGAGGCATGCAATTGTAGAGTTCGTTGTCCCCTTCTCCTGATCGATCAGCGTCAGAACCCCTGTCAACTTCAAGTTCAAATGGATTTTCGAACCTTTGTTTTTCAGGTTTGTACTCTTGTCGAAGCCACATGATTAATGGGAATGACTAAGATTTTGGATGACCAAGGAAGACCAGTACTGCATCCCTGATGCAAAATATGCCAGGCGCGACTTTGTACCCAAGCCTCCAAGTTAACCAGTCTCCCTCAGTCTGTTTCGACGATACGAGAAGTCGTCAAAACAACTTTTAATTTGCAGCAGAGGTATTTGCCAAAAAAAAAACAGTACTTTTGGAACAGTGCAAAGCAACGGTGCCAGAACACCCCCGTCACACTAAGCCATCAAACCTGCAATTAGTTCAATTTTAATCAGGGCCGTTTCACGGAGTAATCATCTAGGTCGCTGTGGTGAGACCTAGTGAGTCTCGTTTCTTGTTAGCGAGACGTTTTCTTATTTTGATTCGTTAGAGAAATTTAATTCCTCCCACTGGGCTGCTTTTTATCAAAAATCTCAGCTTCACTTCACGATCAGAAACCGCAAGCTTTCGAGCCAGTTACAAAGATTTCACTACACGCCTGGCTCCGCGCGCGCCAACATTGAGCAAAAACCCTATGGGGCCTCCTTAAAACTTGTTATTTTTTTTACAAACTCTAGCAATGTGGCAAATATCTTGTTTGATTCAACATTTTATTAAAACTTTCTTTGACCGAACTCCTGTGGTTTTGAACAAGTCCTAAGCGCTATCTAAGTCAAGCGTTCTTATCCACACTGGCCAAAGTGACGTCAGAATTCATCTTTACTCTCATTAATCAGGTGAGAAGGAGCCAATTACAAGATTTATTAGCGGTCAGCAGTAATTGATTTATCAACTATTACATAACGACCCACTGAGAGTTAGCTGGTTTATCATCTATTACATAACAACCCCCCAAAAAAGACAACAACTTCAACGACAACAACAGCATAACGATAAGTGATCATATTATGACCAAAACGATCACAGAGAGATCTATCGAAGATTTGGACGGGACTGTAAGTAAGGAGTGAATCTGTACCGCACTGGTGAAAATGCAGCATTTTCATTTTTTGAACTCGTTATTTTTTACAAACTCTGACCTTGCGGCAAGATCACTTATTCTTCATCTCAGGCGGATGATAAATCATTTGCTTACTATGACGTCAATTAAAATGATCAGAAGAAAGCAGCGTCAAAAGACTAAAAGGCAAAAAGAGAATGTTAAAGGTAACAATATTTGAAATGAACGCATATGTCAGATGAGATAGGCAACATTAAGATGCGAGCGAGAAGAACTCCCCCATCAATGCTGGAACTGTGTGAATATTATCAAAACAAACATACTTTGACGTTTGGCTCAAAAGAACATTTAGACGTTGAAGAGAATCAAACAAGAACAGCAACGTCAAAAGAGCAAGCACGATTAAGGAAGAGACTCTTAGTTTCTGCCGCTGCAAGCTCGAGTAGTTATGAACCATCAGAATCTAGCTCATCAGGTCATATGTCTGTGCACAAATCAAGGATTTTCTCCGCAGTGCGCGAAGACGTTCCTTCGTTTTTAGAAGAGGCATGCACTGATTTACCAAGAGTAAGGGCTCGCAAAGTTAAAATAGCGGCGGTTAATGGTGGAAAAGATGGCAGAGATAAATACCCCTCTTTTCACAGTCCAGAGAGTACGAGCGATAAAAGCGTTCAAATGGCCTTGTGGTACACAAATACCTCCAACGCTAAACAGGACAAAGGCATGGTGGTACATTCAGGTGGCAGGGCTAACATAAATTTATACAGGAACTTGCAAGAACAACAACGACGGCAGGCCACGACAGGAGTGGGGTGTACTGGCTGCACTCTCCCGCCGATCCAGCCACCCACTGCGGTGTCACCAATGTATCTACCCCCGGTAAAACCAGGGCCACACAGCAAACTGCCTGCCAGCACAGGCCGTCGATTTGGTCGACTAGAAATTCATCAAGAACCAAGAAGTCAAGAAAATCGACGGCAGGGTGTTTGTGAGTGGCGTTGAACGCAATTTCGTTAGAGTTTTGAACAAAAGATTTTAGTCAATTGTTTCCGTGTTTCGTTTCTAACGAAGATACGTCCACGTTGATATTCTAAGTCGATGTCTTATATTGATATCTCTCCTTAGAAAAATTTAAATCAAAAATCGATCGCTTATTGATCATATTTGAACACATTTTAAAACTACATGATCTATATTGATATAACAGTCGACAGTGTGGCTGAATTTAGACTGTGAATTAATAACTGTGGTTGGTATCAACCGTGTAACTGTAAATAGAAAAATCAATTGTTAACTTTCCCGGAGTAAAACATGCAAAAAAAGGTTCAAAGATGCAGCGCTACTACTGCTGCTCAAAGATAAGTCGTAAAAAGTCATGGTGATAAGTGAAAGTGTTGTTCGCAGAAATGAAAGAGCTAAATCCAAAAGCTATAATATGTAACTGGAGTATGAAAACAAAAATAAAACGAAACTAATACAACAGTGACACAGAAAAAAGCAAAGCCGAGAAATTTTTCTTTCAATATCCTTCGTATGCATCAGCATATAACCCATATTCATTTTTAAGAGGTTATGTCCAAGAATTTTCGCCTGCCAGACTATTATTATTATTAGACTGATATTTTTTTACAAACTCTGACCTTAAATTGCAGCAAGATCACTTATTGTTCATCTTTGAAGGAAGATCAGTCAGCTCTTTCCTATGACGTCAATTGAAGTTCCAAGTTTTTACAATGATGCTGTATGTGTTATCATGACTTCACTTTCATCAATATTATCGTGTACAATACGGTAGGAGATTCTAAAAAGTAACCCTAGAGTAACAGCAAGAAGTTTACAGTGCTTCCGCACAAGCGAAACGATCCATTCCCGAGAGGAAAGATGCCATCAGCATATTCTACTATCAGAAGATCGTGTACAAAGTCGTCGAAACGAAACGAACCTTTCCCTTTTTAATGAAATGTTAGGCATTGAACAGGTCTGAATAGAATTTTCTCGTGATTTCATTTCATATTTCAAACAAATACAGAAAGGGTAGGAGAGAGACCTTGACTCGAGGACTCTGTCCTGTCATCAGTTTGAGATGGTCTCAGGTTAACAGCTAACCGTAAAACGGCCAAAAAGTTACCTGTGTCGCGTAAAACTTGACAAATTTTAACAGCTAGTTATTAAAAAAAATTAACTCTCAAAACTTTTCCTATCTACGATTTATCATTTTGAGAGTGCCAAAATGTTTTAATGTTCCATAAACACATAATATATATATTACTGTCTCATATACATATACAGCAATATTTTCACTATGCTATTTACTTCTTTGTGTATGTATTTTTGTCGTCTCAGAATTGGCCTAAAAAACTAACCGCTAACCGAAAAATTCCCAAAGCTTTAACCGTTAGCCGTAAGAACCATCACCCAATTGAGACCCTCGTTGTTTCTCCACTCCTAATTTACAAAGACACTTTGAATGCTTAAAGACCTAAGGCATTCCTGTTTTTCGAAAATACGTGTACAAACATATGGGTTACGTGAGAAAACGCCAGTACCAATATTGGCCCCCGCTTTCGAGCTCCGCTGGCGTGAGTTCCATAATACGACTGAGTGACTTAGTAAGTCCGTTGGGTTTACTGCATGTGTTTTGAAATTAATGTTGGCAAAGAGAAAATAACAAAAACACCCTTCCCATTTTGCGCAGGAATGGATAAACGTAGAGTCTTCCAATCAGATAACTTTAAAATACCGGAGATGAGCGAGGAAACATTTCTTTTGTAGCTTACAAGTTGTAGCTAACATTATTGTTCCTAAGTAAACAGTGCTCACGTTTGAATATCCAATTCATAAAAAAAAATTTGTAAGCCACATCTAGAGAATTATCCCAAAGTTGTGTTCACAAAAGGATGTTGAAGTTTAAAGTTTGGTTTTGTAAAGCAAATTAATTTCAAAATGCAACCGAACTATAATTTTTTTACCTCTTACACTATTTCTCATGTGAGTTGTTGCCCCAGCCAAATTTGTGTTATTTTTACACATACGAAATTTCAGTTTCGTCATTTAAGTTTCCGTTCAAGTTAGTCTGCCCGCTTTTGAAGCAATTTAAAGTCCATTTATGAACTAACAGGGAAGGATAACATCAACCATTGTGAAACACACAAACATTATTCTTTTTCGTGCTAAGAGGACCCCTGCTAGCCGATCGACCAACTCTAACCCTTGGAATGTTTACAACAATTCTCAGTAACACGAATTGTGGAATCACTAAGCACTGTGAAATATGGCTAATATCGTTCCTGTGGTTTGCTAGATGGTAACACTGGTAGAAATTGCTGATTTAGATCACTAGAGTGGTGCCATGAGGGGAATTTTGTTTGAAAGTTTTGGCGTTTACTTTTGTAGTGGTGGACGCTGATAGTGAGGTGTTATGGCGTCACGGAATCGAACCTCAATCTACTCGACCGCTCGTAATTCTTCGTCGGACAAATCTTTGGGATCAGCAACGCCATCGCTTTTGGCATCGACTGAGAAATTAGCAGCTTCTGTATCAGTTAAAGTTTCTCCATAAAAACAACCGTTCAAAGGTCTAAAATACAGAGCTATGACACAACAGCTCTTCCATATCGTGAATTGTTAGTTAGAACAACTTCTTCAGTCTCGGGACCCTATCCAAACGGGGTCTTTCCAAACAGAAAATGCTGGTTTTTGCCAAAACAAATGGTCACTCATTGAATAGACTGGTGTGCGAGACGTGCTTTCTGATTTGTCATTAATGCCAGAAGGAAGTTGATCATTTTGCATTATCTGAAACCTAAACCTCTCTACACCCTAACATCAGTATCTATATTCTCCATGCTTTTCTCTGTACAATTCCTCTGGTACTGACAAGGAGAATTTGTTCAATAATTAAAGCTTCTTAAGTTGGTGATCATTTGCCTTATTCTCATTATCTTTATGAATGACTCAGCAGTATTATTGTAAGGAGAAATTAAATACTGGTCACTCCCAGGGTTCAGAGGGTTAAAAACACAAATATCTCACAGTTTCCACGCCAAGTGAATTGTCAGTGAAAAGGCGCTCGGTTCAAACATTAGATTAAAGTTCCACAGATAAGATTGTCCTGC